ATATATATATATATATATATATCCAGAGCACACCTCACTATGTAGGGACCTCCCACATGGCCTAGGATGAGAAAGAGACTGATCCGTTTCAAGGAGCCAGAGAAACACATGCCCAAGAGAGAGTAGCACGTGCCAAGGTCCCAGGGCACAGAACAGGTTGGGATGGTCAAGGAAGGGAGGGAGACATGTGTGGCTGCAGCAGTGCCCACGGGTGCCTAGGGGAGGGAGGCAGAGGAAGGGACTGGCAGGAGAAGATGGAGTACCAGGCCAGCTCGTGAAGATCCCCATAGACCATGGTTAGGCGTTTATAACGGGAAGCCATTGAAGGGTTTTCAGCAGGTGACTTGACTTAACTTACATGTTTTGGACAACGAGCACTGTCATCATTGCGGTGGTGTTTCATATAGTGTGGCTGCAACACCAGGCCAGATTGTCCATCCCCTCTGGGCATTAAAACACTGCACTCACCACTCACCCTCCCCATGCTCCCCTAGGGCCTGCTCTGAGGGGGAGCGACTGAGCTGTCACTCCCATCAGACCCCAGGAAAGTGCCATCCCTGCCATCCTCAAGCTGGGGACGCCCCTTACACGAGGACTCCCTGCACCCACCATCTCCCTCCAGCAGCCGGTGTTTCTGCCCTGACTGTACAAAGCGTTGCTGTGGAAGAGCATGGCCAGCAGGTCAAAATATTTTTTAAAAGGCAAGTTACATGCAAATTCAGTATATATGAACACAATCCATTTGTGTGTGTGTGCTAATAGTTAACTAGGTGCCCAAGATTAACAGCAATTACCTCTATATCACAATTTCCATCCTTTTTTTGTGTGTGTATAGTAAAGGTGGAAATTTATTGAAGAACAAGTACAGACTCCCACCTTGGGAGAGGGAAAATGTCCCCCAACTTCCCTCTTTTTTAAAAAAAAAATATTTTTATTGATTTCAGAGAGGATGGGAGAGGAAGAGAGAGAGAACTATCAATGATGGGAGAGAATCATTGATCGGCTGCCTCCTGCACGCCCCCTACTGGGGATGGAGCCCACAGCCCTGGCATGTGCCCTGACCGGGAATCTAACCATGACCACCTGGTTCATAGGTCTGCACTCAACCACTGAGCCACGCCGGCCGGGCTATATCACCATCTCTCGATCTCAGCACTATGAACATTTGGGGCCAGATAACTCTGTGGTGGGGGCCCGTCTGTGCATTGCAGAACTTTAGCAGCACCCCAGCCCTCTACCCACTAGATGCCAGCAACGCCCTCTAATGGTAGCCATGGAAACATCTGCAAACATCGCTGTAGGTCCCGAGGGAACAGGTTGCAGCCGCTGGAGAGCCACCGCCCTCGGTGATGTTTCCCTTTGTTTTTGGCATATCTGCCCATTTTCAGTTGTGTGTTTTTTTCCCTAAAATAAACATAATGTACTTTAATCATGTAAAAAAAAAATTCAGTGTTTCTTTTTTTTTAAAATTTATTTTTATTTTTGACAGTATTACAGAGGTCCTGCATTTCCCTCCATTGTCCCCCCTCTACCCAGTCCCCACCACATCCCAGGTCCTCACCACACTATTGTCTGTGTCCATGGGCTATGCATACATGTATATAAGTTCTTTTTTTATTTTTATTTTTTATATTTTTAAAATATTGATTTTTTTTTACAGAGAGGAAGGAAGAGGGATAGAGAGTTAGAAACATCGATGAGAGAGAAACATTGATCAGCTGCCTCCTGCACACTCCCTACTGGGGATGTGCCCGCAACCAAG